TGAGGGGCTTCAGAGCCTTGCCGACGCCTGGTGGGGCAGCGCGCTGAGGCTCATCAGCTTCAGCCAACGTATCCAACTTTGCCCGCTTCGCATGTGCCTGATCCTCCAATTCGTCCGGCTTCTCCCTCCTTTCACTTCCAGGAGGCGCAAGTTTGTCGTCTGCCTCGTACCCTTCGAGCTTCATGTCGTTCAGGCCCAAGTCTTCGTTCTGCTCAAAGGTTCTGGTGTAATCCTCGACAGTGACTTGCTCGTCGACATCGGGGGCATACGGGTTTTGAATGTAGCTGTTCGCCAACGGGTCGTCCAGCACGACCGTGAAGGGACAGACCTCTGCAGACATTGCTTTCTTGAGTTTGCCCAGGAAGTCTTCGAACTTTCCAGACTCTCCCCTGTTTGAGTCTCCCCTCATCAGGCGTGTTGACAACTCGTCATAGACTTGCTGCAGCAGGCCTTCCAACGTCGTGAAGCGACCACCCAGTGTTCCAGGATTCAAATGGAGCTCGATCTCGGGAATGCTCAAGCCAGCTGACTCGGATTTGAGGAGGTCTCGGGACAAATCGGACGAGTCCTCCACCTTCAAAGTCAACTTCCTGCCTTTCTCGCTGATGGCCGAGCCCGACTTGACCTCGTTGTCTCTGTACCCGCAAAAGTCACAATTTGTCGACATGATTATAATGTCCTGTGGGACAAGGGGGCTCGGATTTTGTCAGCTACGGGCACGAGCTGCGCAGGAATGTGGCCAAAGGCGCGCCTTCGCTCACCTTGAAGTAAGGAATGTTGACCTTCTTCATGAGTGTCTTCAGAGGCGCGGAGCAGCTCGAGCACGTGCCGTCAAAAGCGAGCACTTCCTCGTTCTCAAATTCCGTCTCTCCATCTGCCTTGCTGAAGCCACCGCCCTGATCTGGGTCTACCTCGCCTTCTACCTCCTTTGGCGCAGAAGGAGGAGCACCAAGGCCAAGTGTTGCGTTCTGCTCCGGTGTTCTGGGGTAATCCCTCTTTGTCCACTTGTTGTCCTCGGCGCCAAGGCCTCGAATGGATCCGGTGAACTCGATGAACGAATTGCCGCTTGGATCGTCCACTCTCAAGCTGAAGGGCTCAAATTTTCTGGCGTCGTCCTCTGCAGCAAGCTTGTTGCCATCCGCATCTTGCGCTAAAATGCCCCTCAATCGATCCAAGATCGCCTCAATCTTATCATGTGCTTCCGGCGCAACGTGCTTGCGCACGGGCTGATCAAGCGACAGATCCCTCACGGTGTCTGAAAGCAGACCCTCTACGGTTGTCAACTGACCTCGTTGCGGCGGAATGGATAGCTCGAGCTCTGGGATGATAAGGGTGGCAAATTCCGATTTGACGACTTGTCTGTCCAGGTCCTTTGCGTAAGTGCAGTGCACCGTGTATAGCACGCCCTTGTCTAAAAACGATCGTCAAAGTAGCGGAAAGGTAAGACGGTCTGGCCAAAATGAGTGAAGCCACCTTCCACAAGTGGCGCAATGAATCTCCAAGGATCGCAATGGCTCACCTTGAATCTGGCCAGCGCTCTGAATCTCATTATTCCTGTTGCCGCAATGATCACAGCTGAAGCTGGAAATGATCACCTCCTTGAAATAAGGAATGTAAGTTAATAAAAGCCGAGTAGTCCCGTTCTTTTGGCAAGCCATGCACAGCGATTCGATCTCCTCTACCATGCGGGGCTGGGCGTC